CTTTGTGACTGTAGTGGTCTGTGTAAACTCATGTACAATACAGCCAAACTTCCGAACAGAAAGTAGTATAAAGACGAATTTAAGAGCAAAAAAAATACATTTAATAGAACCAGACTTCAGTGTAACAAAACAAAAAACCGAATTCAGATATCCTGAGGTTTATATACCTTTGCCTATAACTTATGCACATTAGAGTTAATTCATTCTAAATAGGTATTTGAATACATAGTAGTGTCGTAACTTGTTGGCACGTTATAGTTATGTAGTTCCAATTCTAGTTTCTCAAACAGTCTAAGATCAGATGCTTAGTTTAATATCGTAGCTCTAATTTATTCTAAAATAGGTATTTGAATACATAGTAGTGTCGTTACTTGCACGTTAGAGTTACGTAATTCTAATTCTAGTTCAAATGCTTAGTGTAATCTCGTAACTTTGAACTTGTCTGTTAAGTTCAGGATTCTTCCATTTAATATGGAGGGATTCTTTGATTTTTAATTGATACTGTGTATTTGCTTTATCTATTATTTCAAAGCACTTTTTGTTACTCTGTGTTTTGCAATTACTGTATTTTTTTATGTGTTTGTATATATGTGAATTTTTATCCCTGCGTAAATGCTCCTCTATCCTTGATGCAAAATGGCGGGAAGTCTCCCCGATGTATGAGGCCTTACAGCCTCCACATGTGAACTGATATACAACGTTGGACTTGAGGTCGTTACCAATAGGGTCTTTAATATTGAAAAAACTACTTATTTTCGTTGTGCTAAGTACCATGTTGATGGTTAAAATGCTACAATATTTTTTGCATAGTGTATTTATCTTTTCATTAGTGTGTTTAGACATTTTTCCAATAAATGGTAACTTGAAATAACATTTTTCATCGCTATTAGATTTGGTTTGAACGTTATTGTATTTTTTATCAAGGTAGTTTCTAATAATTTTGTCAGTAACATTGGTTGGATAGTTATTTGTTAACAATATATTTTTAAAGACATTTAGATCTTCATTAAATCCAAACCAGGTATTATTAATTTTATACATCCTGTCTAACAAAGTACTAATCATTCTGGTTTTATAAATTCCCGGACAAAAACTAAAATAACTCAACATAAGTCCAGTGAATGTTTTCTTCCTGATCGTTGAAGTTTTGGTGTTTCCATTCTCTAATCTTTTAACTAAAACGTCCAAAAAACCAATTTTATTTATTTTGTTACAAATGTCAATTTGATAGTATAGGAGAAATCGGTACTAAATTTCGATTCATTAATGACAAAAAAATATGCACAATTTTACTGGTATCCCGTAGCTAATCATTTCAATCTCCCTTAACATATTATTATCACCTACTTCATTTTGATCACTAGCAACTTTTCATCCATTTCCAATAGACGTAAAGAAGAATTGAAATAGATTCTTAGAACCAATTATCACATGAACGGTTTAAATAAAGACTATCAAAAACAGACTATTTATATTTATCCATGTTTAAGCGATTTAAGTTTGATCTTGGTTTGCAGGCCTGTATCATAATTGTTTATTTCTAATTAGTCATTTCTACAATATCGTCTTTGATCAGTTTCTCTTGTTATATAAATTCCCTATCAATACCATTTCATTTAATTGTTGCTTTACTTTCTTTTTCTTGGACTATGTGCCTGTTTGCGGGAGGGGTGTGTGGGTGTGTATTTAGCCAAATTCTAATACTTTTAACTATTTTAATGTTTCATTAACAGCGAGCTTGAAGAACGTTTTCGAAGAATGTTTTGGGTTTTACGTTGATGTTCGTCGCAACCAAAAAGCTAAGGGGATAAAGGATGCAATATATGATTATTCAAAAACTGTTGACTATACAGAGTACGATTGTTTTATTTGTTGCATTTTATCGCACGGTAAAGAGGGATCCGTGGCTGGATATGATGGTGAACTCGTCGACATAACTCAAATCACCTTTCCTTTTCGGTCTACTGAGTGTCATGGCTTAAAGAACAAACCCAAGTTGTTTTTTATTCAATCATGCATGGGTTGTCTAACACCCAAATATGTAGCTGCTTCTGCGGATGCCACAACACCCGAATATGAAGAGGCTTCTATAAATGAGACACGCCGCCGCCTGTGCCCAGATGACCGCGATTTCTTGTTTGGTTACAGCACAGTGGAAGGTAACAAGTCGTTCGTCGACAACAAAAGCGGGTCTCCGTACATACAAGCTCTAACAGAAACTTTAAAAAATGAGCCTTTGAAGAATATGTATATTATCCTGACATGTGTCAATGATGAAGTGAGTAGTAAGGAAATGTGTGTATGGAACAAGAGGGAGAAAAAGTTCGAAACGGTTATGCAAGTACCATTTCTTAAAAGTACCCTATCAGGGCAGGTGATTTTTTCTCCGAAATAGGCCTGCGTAAGTTACTTGTAATGTATACATGCTTATAAATGAGGTGTTATGATATAAATACAGGTATTTAATATATAACATATATGTAAATGGTGTTTGTGGTTTTAAATAATATGGTCTGCATACTCCCATAAAAGAGGACACACAATAGGCATCTCACAGATTCTGTATAGGCCTACATGACAGGTAAAACAAGTAAAGGCCAACTCAGACAGCGTCGGTTGACGCAGCCCGACGCGATTTGTTGTCGTGTCGGGTCTGTGTAAGTTGAACGCAGACGCGATGGTATGCGTCGGGGGCAGTCGCGTAGTAGAATATTAAACGTGTTTAATATTTCTCACGACGGCTTAAGACTGTCCCCGACGATAAATCGGGTCGGGCTGCGTCGGCCGACGCTGTCTGAGTTGGCCTTAACTTAACGTTAAACGTAGATCAACATGCTTGAAAACTAATGACAATAAAATAAAGCATTTAAAAATGAATGTAAGCCATTAAGGATAACGGAATCCAGTCTTTTAACATTTTAAGTATGAGAGGCTTTGTAGTCGGTTTATGAAGCTCATATCTGGCAAAATATTTAATTTATAAAATAATGTAAAACAAGTGTAATTACTTTTTGACTTAAACCGCGTTTTTCTTTTATTGCATTCTGAATAAAAAAAAAGTAATGACAGTGGTTGTGAACAAAGGTTGTGATGGTCCGTTATGAATATCGATATAAATAAACAGAACTGAAGAATTATGTTCAATTGGCCTAGGCCTAGTACATGTGCATTAAAATGTGTTTTTTCCTAAATCTGCAATTGTTTGTATTTTACGTATTTTATAGCATTACCTTTATAGACTATACGTAGTTTATTGTCATAACTTTTTTTTTACTAAGCAAAATGCAAATTCAAATTTATTCGGTATCACATGTGTCAATGATGAAGTGAGTAGTAGGAGATGAAAGTATGAAATGATACAAAGAAACAGCAAAAATCGGTTATGCAAGTACCATTTCTTAAGCACCCTATCAGGGCAGGTGATTTTTTTTTCGCCGAAATAGGTCTGTGCAAATCTGGGTACTTACTGCGCCCGACGATCGTCGGCGTCGCGATTATTCTATGGAGAACTCAACGCCACGACGCAAGCGCAGCTGATTGTTTTTAATGGCGATCCGTTCAGACTGCCATTGACAATCTGCAGACCTGGATTCGTCGTACGAAGTTGTTAAGACGGTCTTACGACCGTCGTGTGACGCAGTGAGTGCCCTGCGTAGGTTACTTGTAATGTATTGGCCAATAAATGAGGTGTTATGATATAATATGACTGTTCCCTGGTTTCAACACATTGTAATCTAAATTTAGTAATTCTGGTGCTATTAGATAGGCCTATAAGTTGAAATATGAATTTGATTTTATTCCATTCTTTATCAGGAATTTTTGGTCTTTCATTCTGAATATAAATCTAATTACAGTGTTTTTCAACAAAGTGTGTAATGGTCCGTGATGACTATGAACAAACAGAACTAAAGTATTAAGTTCAACAGGCCTAGTTCATGTGAGTTTATATGTTTTTTTGTTTTTTTTTAATTCTGCAATTGTAAGTAGTTTACGTATTTTACAGCATTACTTTTATAGACCATACGTAGTGTATTGCCATGTCAACTTTTTCTTTACTAGGTCTACCTGTACATACATTATTGTGTAGATTAAGGTTCCTCAACATAAGCAATCTTTGAAGTCCCAATATTTTAAAAACAGAAATCAGCACCAGTCGTGCTGTACATATCGCTAATGAGAACAGAAACACGATAGGCAAACGTATGAATGAAAGAAAGATTATAACAGGATATGACACTAACAATATGACTAGAAAGTAATTTAGGTGGTAAATGCTGCAGTCTGGTTTGCATTATGATTGGTTATTTACCAAACACACGATAATTACTATTTTTATGTTGAAATAGTCTATTGAAATAATTTTATAATAATAATAATAATAATAATAATAATAATAATAATGATAATGATAATAATAATAATAATAATAATAATAATAATCATAATCATAATAATAATAATAATAATAATAATAATAATAATCATAATAATAATAATAATAATAATAATATTAATAATAATAATAATAATAATAATAATCATAAATTGACACTTCTTGGGGTGGGGAGACAGATACTGAACTTAGGCCTAGGACTATATCCTTTGACTCAGGCCATGAAATCAAAATGCCTTTGCCAGATAATGAAATCGAACCGGAGTTTCTATTTCAGTCTGATAATAATGTGTTTATTCTCTGTTGATTTGGCGTATCATATCAAATAGGCGATCTAAATTGTCGCAAGCTCCTTATGTTTAAGATATTGTGGTTTATGGTTGGTAATTAATGTTTCCGTGATGCGAAACACATCACTTTGGAGTAGATTTGAATATTGGTGTTTTCAGTGCTTCCCTTCTAATCTAATATCATAATAATAATAATAATAATTAATAATTAATAATTAATAATAATAATAATAATAATAATATGCCTTAACAAAGCCTCTAAGCGCTTCACATTACTACCCCGGTCATTGGATCAAACACATATGGAACACATTGAACACCAAATTAAATTATTAAATTAGATTATATTATTATAAGTCCTTAATAGTGTGGCTAGTAATCAGCGCAGTTGTGTTGGAACCTACCAGGTACACACTTGTACTCCTGGGTGGTGAGAGGAAACAGCAAATAATGTGCCTTGCCCAAGGACACAATAATAGTAAGCATAACAATGGTATTCTTAGTTTTAATAATATTGGCATAGGGCCTAACCATGATTATTAGCATTCATTATTATAGTGTATTAATGTTTGAATATGTATGTTAGTATCAGTTACATTATAGCCTAAAGGCGTGAATAAAATCAGGTGTTCTATACTGAAAGAGTACAATATTTTGTATGACGAATGTTGTTTTGATAGTTACTGTATTTGCTACGTTTTTGTTTGGTAAAGGTTGGCCTATGTGTATAATTGAGTTTCTTTATTGAATTGGGTCGCTTTGAAACATATTGCAACACAGAAATATGTATAGCTCGTAAACATTGTTCGACGTAAAGAGAGAGAAATAGGCCTACAAAGCTCTTTGGATTATCAATTTTGTGCTCAACTTAATACGATTTCATGAATTTGCATATCGTTGATTAATGAAAATACAGCAGCTAGTATTGTCAACAATAGGCTCATTTTAATACGCTTAATAATAATAATATGAAAACTTATAGCGCCCAATCCGCCTCAAGGATAGAGTACGCTCACGACGCTTCACTATAAAGACTGCTTTGAAAGCCATTATTAAGCACAAGTTCACGAAAAACTTCCGGAGTTGAAACTGTGTCACTCTCTTCATGTGGCCGTGTATACGTAGATACAACTTGTGTTTTACGTACCCGTATGTAGATAACTGGAAGTAAACTGGGTGCGGCTGCTAGTGCACAACTCCTATATACTTACAATAGTCTCGTATGGTAATATTATTGGAAAGCAATGTATTTAATAGAAGCGACTGTTGTTAACACTAGTACACTGCAAGGTTGAGTGAATAATATGGAAATAATATATAAGTAAACCAAGACTGGATATGGTCACAATCCCCAGTAGTGTCTAGTCTTATCGCACCCTGGATATAATGATGGACCTGTCCTTTATAATTTGTACTTATCATTTTGAAATTATTTTTATACTTTTCGTATTATTATTTACTATTAATTTTATTTACCAAAATAACAATATAGTATGGTAAGCACTATTTATTTAATAACAAGGGCAAGTGAATAAAAATACAATGTTATCATCATACAGTAATGTATAAATTATGCATTATTCTGTATTATTATTACCGTAGATGCTCGAATAAGCGCCGCTCTCGGATAAACGCCGCTCTCAAATAAGCACCTACCAAACCTGATTTTTTTTTTCGTTAAACGCCGCTCTCGAATAAGCGCCGCGACGCTTAATCGAGAGTATAATATTGCGATGTGTGTAATGAACAACTTAAGCCTCTTAGTCTATGCAATACTGTAGGCCTATGTATACTATTTTTTATGTCACGAATACCAAATTAGTGCCCGGTCTGCTAGGTAAACAAAAAATAATATAAACAAAATTTAAATAAAAAAAATAATTAAAATAAGAATAAAAGGAAAGATGGTTGTTACTTTTTATGTTTATATGTTTCATTGTTTATCACCTGGTGAAATTAAGCACTCTATAATCGATTAAATTAAACCTTTGATCCGTTAAGAGGCCGTAGCCCCAGACCCACAAACAAAAATTTGCCCATGGCAGCAAAACTGCCACGGAGCTCACGACCGCTCTCTGCGGCCCTGAAAATCATTGACGTATACCTTCATGGAAATCTTAAATGTTTTCCTAGCTTATCTTTCGTGACCTTTCTGTTCAGCCTAAAAAGAAAGGAAAATCCAATAGCTCAATGTAAAATAAAGATTCTCTTCCTTGCTAATTACTTCTCCAGGATGTATTGTACAGGTTTTAAAATTGGTTTTTAAATATTGCAATTTTGTCTTGCATTAAAACTGAAATAATAGTCACGCAAAGTTAGAGCATCAAGACCATTTCTTTGTTGTTTTAGAAAATAGATTCTTGTATTACATTTGGATACATGGCCCAGACAATTCAAGAACACAACACAAAAGTCTTGAAACAGAAATAGTATGAGCTGTCGCTTATGCCGCCAGCGCCACAAATAGAAAAAGAAAAAAAAATGGAAGATTAAAGAAATAGAAGTCTACACCGGACGTATTATAGGTCTTATTAAAAGTGCATGTTGTAGTGGGCCGCCGTGTCGACAGTAAGGCACTCGTTAGTTTAGAAAAACGGGAGATATTCCATAGGATCTACTATGAATCAAGTCAGAGAACAAAAAGTGAAATCACTATCCGAATATTATCTTGACTAAGTACTAAGTACACTAAAAGGAGAATGGTACCCTAAATACAATATTTCAGATTTGTTTTCCAGTTACAAAATGGTAATATTATTCTATTTCTATTAATCATCAGTATTTTATAGTACCTCTGGTAAACAGAGTACACTAGGCAACATTACTAAGTCCGCAAAGCAAAGATAATAAATAGCAGACGATAGAGCAGCTTCCCAATAAAGTGGAACCCAATAAAGTGGAACATCCGTTCCAAGGGCATTGTGGATACACGGAGAGCAGTTT